TCAGCAGATCACATTAAGCTCCGTTAGTTTAATATTTAGAGTGAAACAACAATTATTATGAAGCCTGATGGTAAGAATCTATGTTCTTATGTTGGTTTTTTAAGATTAGGTAGGTACTCAGTTTTTAAGTGAGTTAAGAGCATTTTTAATTTATGGTATATTATATAAGTACGCATAATTTTCAAAAAAAATTAAAGTATCGTAAAAAACCAACGAGAGAACACAGACAATGTTGTTAATTGTTATCTAAAAATTTGTTTGATAATAGGTAAATTCACTCTAATATCAAAACTGACAATACCCTATTGAGGTTTTGTCAGCCTCTTTGAAATTTGTTAGTGTATGCGAGGTCGTTTGAATAATTAATTTGTTGTTCGCTACATCGACTATTGCGTTATTTTCCGACAAGAACTCGTTTCCTAATATTCCGTCCTTGGGTATTGGAAATCGTGCACTTACGATATGAAATTCCGTTTTAATGTTTTCGCTATTTAATTTAATTAATATTGATATTTTCCCTATGGTTTTTGTAAGACATTCATTTATACCGCGTAGATTTATTTTTTGCGTTTCGTCTACTTCCAGTTCTTCGCGTAAGCAATTTATTTTGAGAATATTTACCTGACTACCTGTATCTATCATTAAATGTAATTGATTTGTTTTTGCGGCATTAGAATCGAATGTTATATGATTATTTTCTAGTTTTGCGAATATGTGAAATATTCGTTCGTCGGTTGTTCCGCGATAATCTGGTTTATCGTGCGAGTACCGCGTACCTCGTTCGACACGTTGGCGTTTCCCGAATTATTTCTACTTTCGTCGTTTCTCTTTTTGTAACATGAATCTACATTATGACCGATTTTATTGCAATATGAACACGTAACTGGTTGTGCATTATAATTTGTCGGCGGTTGCGTAAAATTATTTCTATTAGGCGGACGGTTGTTATTTCCGTTGCTCGCGTAGTTAGGTCTCGAATTATTTCTACATTGTGATGCAAAATGATTTCCATTGCAGTTATAACATTTTATTGGTGGTCTATTAATTGGTTGAGAGAAGTTGTTTGCTCGTGGATAATTATTTTGCGCAAAATTATTCGGCCTTACAAAGTTATTTGGTCTTACGTTCCTGTTGTTCCTATTTTCATAATTCGATCTACGTTGGTTATTGTTTTGCGAATAACTACTCGAATAATGATTCCTATTTTCCTGTTCTAATCTTAATTCTACCTGTTCTGACATAGCGATTTGTTTCGCGATTTCAAGAGTTTTAGCATTACGAGATTTTACTATCGTTCTAATCGGTTCTACTAATCCTTTAATAAATATTGCTAGAGTTTGGTCCCTTAATGTTTCATGTATAATTTTTGCTTCTGCAGGCTCTTTGTTTAACGTGCTTACGGTACATAATTGATAATATAGTTTTTCTACTCTATGGCAATAATCGTTCACATCCTCATTGTGATTCATTCTAATCGAATTTAATTGAAGTTGTAACGATGATGCATTGGTTGTTACTTCGAATGCGTCTGTTAAATATGCTTTTATAAATTGCCATTTTGTTACGTTTTTATATTTAATCATTTCTAATGCTCTACCCGTTAACCGCGTAGTGATATATTTTACTAATATTGGTGCGCTAGTTGCGTCAACTAAACCTACTGCCATATCACATGCATTTATGAATTGATAAATATCGTCTATCCCTGTGCATACTGGAATTAATTTAAAAGCGTCTTCTAATCTTATGGTTACTGCCATTTTTTTATTGCGTGATTTAGATATAAAATCTAACGACTGATGTTCAAAACTATCTGTGACTTTGCTACGTGTGACTACTCCTAATTGTGGACTTGGGGTTTTACTTGTGCTATCTCCTAACTGGGTTTCTACTATAATATTTAACTGGGCTTTCTGCTGGGCTTCAAACTGGGCTTGGGCTTCCCTCTGGGCTAATAACTGGGCTTCTAACTGGGCTTCTTCTACTACACTAGTGTCATACAATGAATTAGCTACGTTCAAGGGAGATGTATCTTCTTTGTCCATAAATTAACTTAACCGCCTATTTAATACGTTAATAATCATAATAATACTCAATAAAATTCAATAATGCCCTATAAATACAATAATAACTTCAATAATATGCCCTCTAATAAAATCAATAAACTTCAATAATACTTCAATAATAAAAATGCCCTCAATAAATAATAATCAATAATAACTTCAATAAAAACTTCAAATAATCAATATGCCCTCAATAATTCAATAAACTTCAATAATAATCAATAAAATATGCCCTCAATAAAATTTAAAACGGTTTACACCATTACACTTATAATCAACTACCTAGATTTATCTTAATATGTCTTAATTATGTTGCATACGTCTATGTAACAAATTTAAATAACTATTCACTCACAATAATGCTGCGTTCATGGCTGATGATGACATGTTGCCGATGATGATGCTGCTAATGGATTTGTTGGTACTGCAATGTGACTTATTTGTTTTTTGTTGGTTCCTCCTGGAGTTGTCTTCGCTGAAGAGTGATCAATTCCTCGTTGTTGACAGTAGCCTTTGATGGTTGCCTCCCTTTGGAATCTTACGTTCGACTGCGCCAGTGTTACATGCGAACAACAAATAGTAACAACATTGATAGTCAATTTCAATGGAAAATACATAGTAATATTTATGTTAGATATTTTAATTATAAAATAACAGTGTTAAATTCTCTGTTATACCACACATATCCGTCAAATCCTAATACCGTCATATCCTAATACCGTCATATCCTAAATACGCCACTGCTTAATTTATAGGTATTTATAGGTATTATTATAACAATTTATTTTTATTAAAACTACTAAATTATCTACTACTATTATCTTAATTTGTTTTTAATAGTATTATAATGAAAGTTATACTATTACCTGTGTGAATAAGATATTTTGATAGCATTCTAAAATTGATTGTGAATAGTCAAACGTTTTTCGTAAGTCGCGCGTGACACATTATTTTCTGTACAATGGCAAACTATTCCGAAAAAACCGATATGGTATTAATTTTTGGAGAATGTCATCAAAATTCGCGTAACGCAGCGGCACTTTATGCTGAACGATATCCCGAGAGATATCATCCACCACACAATTATTTACGAATTAACTATTTTAAAACTTCCGACCGTCATAATCATGGCAATTTTGAAGATATCAACAAACTGTAAAGATCAAAGTTGTTCAGAAAAAATAAAGAAATCGAAATCCGGTCTCCAAAATAGTGGTTGCTATTTAAGAAATTTTTATTTTACTGCGCATGCGCTGATAAAAAAAAAAAAAAATTGAATTTATTAAAAAAATATGTATTTATAAGTCCTATATGCAGTATAAAAACCCCGAATCAAATTCAAGGCCAAACGATCGAAATATTTCCTGTTACCTTTAAAATTGAACACACGGTATATTTTTTTTATATGGGTAACGGCCTTTAAGACCAGCTTTCCAAGTATATTCTCTTCGATCTGTATATCCATCTATCCTTTCTATTCTTCCTACATCTTTAGCAACACAATCCTCCCATCTTATTTCTACCCAAATGTTGTTTTCCTGGTGGGTTGTTTTCGATTACGGTCTTTATTATTGACCCTTGTTTCCTCCATGCTTGTCCTGCCCATTCCAGTCTTCTAACTGAGATATATTTTGTAAAAAATATGCAGTTTATAAAATATAAATACAGATAACAGCCTACAGGTACCTACATACCTATATAATCAGACTCATTTCATAATCTTAACAATTAAAAAATAATAATAGTAATATGCAATAGAATGCAGTGATATGCATATATACAGTAGAAATCGGTTATAACGAGTTTCAAGGGCCAACTAGTTTTTCTCGTTATAACCGGTAACTCGTTATATGCGGTTAGAACGAACATTCGTTGAAACCGATTAAAAGCGGAAATACAAAAATAAAACCGACTTTTTTTATTTTAGACAAAAAATTTTTATTTACATACATTATTCATACATTTATTATTGAATTTATTATTTAACTTGAATTGATTTAATTTTTATTTAATTTCTTAAAATAATCTTTGATCGAACTTTGCTTCGTGTTAGAGTTGATCGATGTTTCTAAAAAAGACAACGCTTTTCTTTCAGCATCTGTACCTTCATATTTTGTGTAATAAAATCTTTCTAGTGTCCTCAATGCAGCACGAGCTTCGGATATTGACGGCACAGTTTCAAACTCATCATCAAGCTCTTCAATATCAGTATCATTATCTAGCTCAACTTGTTGGTTGGCTATGACATTGTCGACTATATCTTCATCTGTTTGAATTTCTGACGTTATTAGGTCGTCATCAATCTGTAAGTAGTCTTCGTCGATGTTATTAATCAATCCACTGTCTGCTTGTAGCTGTGTAGTATCGGTCGTAACGTCACAAAAACCTGCATGCCGAAAACAATTAGCAATCCCGGTCGATGTTACATTACGCCAAGCTTTATCCAGCATTATTATGGCATCCAAAACAGTTACTTTTGATTCTATTTGATTTTCAATATCCTCAATCATTTTCAGTACCAACTGATTCCGGTAATGAGCTTTAATGTTCCTTATAACGCCCTGGTCCATCGGTTGAAGTACAGCAGTAGTGTTGGCGGGCAAAAATACGAGTTTAATAAATTTCAAATGCTGCAATGATGGGTGTGCTGGACAGTTGTCCACCAACAGTAGAATTTTTTTTTTCTTACGGCGTAATTCATCATCCCAATAATTAAGAGTCTTTTCAAAAATTGCTGAGGTCATCCAAGCTTTGGTGTTATTTTCATAAAATACGGGAAGTGATGAAACTCCTTTAAAACACCTAGGACTTTTCGATTTTCCAATAACAAGGAGTTTTCTTTTATCATTTCCGGTCATGTTGGCTGCCACTAAAACTGTTATTCTGTCTTTGGATAATTTTCCACCCGAGCATTTTTCCCCCTTGAAGCGAAGAGTTTTATCGGGAGTTAATTTGAAAAAAAAGGCCTGCTTCATCGGCATTATAAATTTCATCATCACAGTAACCTGCTCGAAGGGACGGCCAAACGTTAGCCAACCAGTTAGAGCAGATATCAGTATTAACTGCAGATGACTCACCTGAGATCTTGCCGAAACCAATGTTGTGCCGCTGTCGGAAACGCTGAATCCAAGATGCAGAGCATTTGAAATTTTCTATTTTCATTTTTTCAGCCAGTTGGTCAATTTTTGTTTGCAAAATAGGACCACTTATAGGCACATTCAATGACCGTTGTTGTTTGAACCATACTAGTGCAGCTTCTTCAAGGTCCTTATGCTGTGCAGTGCGCAATCGTTTTGCGTTAAGGGGCCTGCACGCGACCTGCTTTTTTGCTCAAAAACATGCCTTACAGGAAAAACTCTCACTCCTCGTAGATTGGTCCGATTTCCGTAATTTTTTTTTTGTTAGATAGAGGAAGACTTCTTACAGGGCGCATTGGACTTGGATTTTCAACATTATTTTTCTAAATCTTATGTTACAAGTTTGAATTTAATCAATTTTTACAACTTTTTAGTTTTTGTATAATTTTTTGTTTTTAGCGACGTAATCAAAAATCGAAGTCCAATGCGCCCTGTAAAAAATATTCCTCTATCTAACAAAAAAAAAATTACGGAAATCGGACCAATCTACGAGGTGTGAGAGTTTTTCCTGTAAACTGTGTTTTGACCGATATAATACACCCTATCAACCCCCCCTAAATAGGTATTGGGTAGTAGATTAGTGGAAAAGTCTTATAATTGAGGTGGCAACTAAAATATAAAATTTAATTTTCAAATTTTATAGAATTGCGGAAAATTTGAAAAATCGCGAGCAGGCCCCTTAAGTGACGTGGTTTGAAACATATTTTTCAACTTATCCTTGTTCTTCCATATGGTCGAAATTGTCGACGAACAGGTGCCGAATTCTTTTGAAATTACGCTGTTTTTCTCACCATTTTCTAAACGCCCGATTATACCGATTTTTTCGTCCAACGTAAACTGACGACGCGACATGGTGGAACGTCTACACACAACTGACGCTATTTGTAATTTTATTAACTTTAAAACACCAGAATTTGTAAGAATAATGTTTATTATTAATAAGTAATCCATATCTACACAACTAAAGATAATATGTCAATGATTAATCGACCTAAATACGAAAATAGTTCGTATCTTGCAGGTACTTGTTCGTAGTAACCGGAAGGTCGTTAGTCAAGTTAGCTTTATTTTACTCGTTATAGCCGATAACTCGTAATAACCATACTCGTTGTAAACGTATATTTTAACATACAATCATATGCGCTCGTGCCGGGACCTAACGTTTTGCTTGTTGTAAGCAGTATCTCGTTCTAAGCGATGCTCGTTATAGTGATTTCTACTGTATATATTAATCTGTATATAATTGGTTAGTTTTTTATTACTATTTACTGCTATCTAAATTGATCTTACAAATGCATATTTTGAATACTTAGCAATCAGTCAATTTTGGAAATTGTTAGGTATTTTGTACATTTCCTAATGGCTTCTAGTCCTACCTATTTCAAAACTAACTAAGTATTTTTGCTGCGTGTATAATACACAAATTACAAGTCTCAAATTTGTTTGAATTTAACTTTATGGTTTCATTATGGAACTATAAACTTAACTGTGGCCATGCGTTTGCGAGTGAAATTAATCATACCCTACACAATCATACATAAGAGAATGATAGGTGGTGGAATTGTTCATCGATAGGGAATTTCATGAAGATTTCATTAAAATGGTAAGTTTAATGAATATTAAAGTAGTTATCCAGATTCTTCCCAATAATTGTAAAAATAACATACGCAAATTCGCTTTATCAATAATCATGATTTTTTATTTATTATCAATTTGTATTTTGTACATACAATTAAAGATAGTTACTATCACCATAGAACAATACGGACTAAGAATAGATAGTCCGTGGACCGTCCAAGGTTTTTAGATGATAAACCTTTATCTAAAAACCCATCCCGGCACAGAATGTGATTTAAAGGCGCAGGTTTGCTACACTTGTTTGCGAACTGGTGCTGCCAGAAAAAGATAATTCACATTAGTCTACCTTTTTGGTGACACTGGATTAAAAAAAAATATTGATTTCGGATAAAATACGGTTCGAAAGAAATATTTTTCGTCGAGAAAAAGTTTCGGGTAAAATATTTTTCGGATAAAAAACGTTTCGGTTAAAATATTTTCGACTAATATATTTTCGGCTTGGTTATTTTCGTGAATAATATTTTCTGATAAAATATTTTTCGTGTATTTTTCTTTTGAATTTAATCATTTTCGGATAAAATACGGTTCGGGAGAAATATTTTTCGTCGATAAAATGTTTCGGGTAAAATATTTTTCGGATAAAAAACGTTTCTATTAAAATATTTTTCGGATAAAATTATTTTCGTAAATTTATTTTCGGATAATATATTTTCGGCTGAAATGTTTTCGGACATAATATAGCCCCTCGAGTTGCCTTTATACGGTGTGAGATATAACCCTTTGTAAAAATATAGGGATGGAGTGTTTCTATTATATTCATTAGCAACCTTCACAACGTTGGCTACGCCACCAGTCAGTGCTCCTAGAGCTGACAACCCGGCGAAAATCGGTATGAGTGGTAGCACACCGCCTTTTTTTAGGAATATTTGTTGTTCGTGGAACTTTAGTCTTCTTAATTTTGAATGTTTTTCGCGCGACGGCTACACATTTTTTAGTCAATGTCATCAAGTTTTTTTCTCCGATATTTTTATTTATAACATTTTTAGTGGCTTTAAGTGCTGCTTTAAAACCACAGCCGCCACCTACTTTACGTTTTGCTTTCATGGCAGTAGTCACACCCCAAGCCGCAGCTTTTTCTTTTAGACTGGAATCTCCCAAGCTCGCTGCTCTAATATATAATCGGCTTTGTTACGATCTGCGATAGAGTTACACTGATCGTACGCAATATTGTGGTCTCTACAAGCAGAGTCCAGAGAGTATATACCTCTATCACCACGTGCTACTCGTTTTCCTAAATTTGTACCAGGTCCACAGTATTGATAACCTAAAATATAAAATTATTAGAAAATATAATATTATCGGATTTATAATATAATATACCAGGCACGTGAAGCTCGATTGGTAATTTGTTTATAAGCGTGTTGATCAGGCCACTGCCTTTATTCTTGCTGTTTCTTCGAGCGAGTGACATTTTGTACTGATTACTATATAATTAAAGAAATGTCTATAGTAGACACAGAAACTTGGGAGACCCAACACTGGATTTTTAAACATTTAAAATCGATGGAGGATAACAAAAGTCGTAAAACCAACAAATGGCTGGAACGTAATTATCATCAACTACTTATAGAATACGGCGATATCGAGTATGAAGAACTCGGCAAAATATTGAATTCATTAAAGTTCAACAGCATTTACGTCAAAGGTGAACAGAAAAAACAAATTCTTATGGAGTATATGGAATTTAATCCTAAACAGTGTACATTTTATAAAGTTTTTGCTATAAGAAAATGGTTTATAAATAATTCTTAAAAATATAACAATAATATTTTAACAATGGTTTTTTTATTTTTACATACTGAGAAAAAATTATATATACAGTATTATACTAAATATTATATACATTAACGTGTTTTATACAAAAATATACATAACTTTCATAAAAAAAAAAAAAAATTACAGAAAAAAATTTAAAATATTCATTAATAACCGATATCATCCACCATTTCTGCCAAATCTGCTTCTATCCGTTCAACTTCTTCAGCCTCTCTGAAAAAAAAACAAGTGGCACTCGGGGACTGCCGCGATAAAGCTATTGCATATTAAATAAATAAGAAGTTGATATAATTTTAAATTTTTTTATTATTCTAGTTATTTAGGAATTTGTATCATAGAAACTATAGGCTTATGATAACTAAAATATGAAATATAAGTTTGAGATTTAATATTCTCCAAATATCTGGAAAATACGGCGTCGATGGGGGTCTCATATTTTGTAGTAGATTCTTGTGGATCATTATTTATACGTACATTTAATTTTTCTAAGAGAAACGTTGTTAGTCGCTCTGATTTTTTATCAGCGAAGTTAATGTTGAAATCGCCAGCCAAGATAAGTGGAAATTTATGGGAATTTCCACCAAGTATTTTTGACCCTTCTACAGTGTACTCCAGTAAAGTGCGATGAATAAAATATTCTACCTCGTCCAATTTTGGATTTGGAGTAATGTAAATGACTACAATGACTATTTCTAGGCCATTTTGCAGTTTGCATAGGCACCCACAAATATCTCCAACATTTGAGTGTCTAACATTTAAATCTACAACATTTGCCACATTTATATCAATATTTGGAGTCATATTATTGATAGTATCATTATTATTTTGGTAAATGGCTACCCCACCCTTTGAAACAGTATCTCGTTTAAAATGAACGATGCAATTGAAATTAGGTATGTCAATCGGATAATCATTTGACATGCATGTTTCGCTTGGAAGTAACACATTTGTTTGTCTAGTTACGTAATCTTGTAAATCGTATTTGTGACTGTTAAGACTTTGGCAATTGAAAGTCATTATTGAAACTCCATTTCTATTTCTAATAAAATCTAAGACACTTTGAGCTTTTGTTTGCACACAATTCAACGATAGTCTTTTAAATGCAAAATGGGTATTTAAGGATTATAGTATAAACAGAAAACTTCAATTAGCTATAACTCTGAAAGTAAGTTCGTGCGCCAAATTCTGATTTCAGCATCATTTTTTTCGTCAAAAATATGACTAAGTTCCCGCAAAAAATGCCCATAAAAAGGGGTGTCCCGTAAAGTAGAAATGTTCCAAATATTGATATTTAAAACAATTGTAAAAAATCAGCCATTTTACTTAAATAAGTGTTTTTACCATATAAATTTTTCTAAAAATCAGATTTACAAATTGGCTATATTGAATATTTCGAAAAAAAATTTTATCAATTTTTAAGTTTTTTATTTTCAGTATTAAAAAATAAAAATAAAAAATGTATTCTAAAAATGTAGCGCAAGTGTCTACGAATTATATTCAAAAGAAATTTTTTAAAAAAATTGATTAGAACAAAAGTTATTTCATTTGTCAGAATATCAGATCTCTGTGGGACACTCTGTATAATATATATAATGTGTAGGTATTTTTATAAAATACTCACTAATTTTCTTGCACTATTTCTTCACCAGATGCACTTCCTTCACTTTCCATTTTTTTTTTTATATTATATTATATTATAATAACACTTCCAGCATTACCCTGGTGTGCACAAATTTGACAAAATGAGTTTGTTTTGTTGGTAGATAAGTGAATAATAAAATAATAAATTAATAAAAAAAAAAAAGATAACGCAGCATGTCTCATACACTGTGTAATTTTATCATATCCAGATATAAATGTATATTATATAGGTAATATGAACTGTATAATTATAGGTACATTATTATACCTTGCAAATATATCTGCAAACAATAGCCGCCGACAATAGACCTTTGACCGCAGATAGCACGGTATTACAATACGGGTCGCCGCGCGGTAGGCAGAGAGGGGGATTACGGGATTCCGCGGGTAGTGGTCACGCTTTTTCGTTACGAAAATTTTTTTTTCAGTCACCACACCAGGCCTGCGATAAAAGCTATGCAATAGCTTAAAAAAAAAAAAAAGATAAATAAGTATATATATTAAATACTAAAAACAAGTATAACTCACTGTATAAGGTAGTGTCCGTGGGTTATGGTATGTATCTGATCTTCACATACTATTCTCTTATCATCACAACGATTAAGGGCAAGTTTAACTGACGAGATAGTCTTTAATTCATGTTTAAAAGATCTGAGTGAATCCTGTCAATTCAAACTGTTTAGACTGCTCAACAGCTAAATTTCGAGTTTCATTTGTTTCTGGCGGTATACCATCCCAAAACAGACATTTCTTGTGGTTGGACATCGTTAAATGGTTTTTAACTACATGATAACGTA